TTAAATCAATATAATTATCCTCAAGTCAAGACAACCAGAATTCAATATAAGTACCTGTTTTAAATATTAATATTAATTTTCTTGTATTACCAATTAGGCGATTTTCTTACTAAGTATCATATTATTAATTTATACAGATGAGACTAAAACCACATAAAATAAAACGGTTAATTTTCAGGACAACTACAAACACAAAAATATGCGTTTTTTATAAAATTTAACCGATTTTGTAGTACTTTATATATTTTTCTTATATGAATCCACAGGTATCCATTACAGATAGATGTCATCGAATACATGTCTATTAAAAAGTGGTGATGTGTTTTGATCACAATGTAATCGATGGCATAAGCTAAGGGCTGGAGGAGTTTAAGGTACTTTTCAATATATTCAAGATACATTTCTTTCGATCGTCTTTCGGTCTACATAACGGAGTCAGGGATTCACTAGAAAGACAACAGACTCATTACACACGCGTAACACGACAAATAATAATTAACGGTTTCGAAAAACTGACATTTTAATTTCCTAGTGGTATTGAGCATTGTTTTTTTATTCTGCTGTCTGGCTGCCGCCTTACAGTTTAAAAAGAAATGCTGCTGATAAAAATGTATCATAAAAATATACAAAAATCTGACTTAAGCCTTTTAATAAAAGGACTTAAATCATTTTAAGTCTTCTAAAAATAATTAAATTTTGTTCTATTTCGGAATAAATATTTAACTTACAAATCATTTTCAAACAGATTTATCATGACTTAAGTCATTAAAATGATTTAATCAAAAAAAAGACTTAAGTTCTCTGTGAGCTTGCAGCTCTGATGCCAATGAACATCATTATGTACGTTACACTAAATTATTTATAAATTATATAAAGGATACATTTCAGTGGCGGCTCGTGACTGATTAGGCGACAACATTTTAGTTGCGTCTATTTGCCCCCCCCCCCTAATTTACATAATAAGGGGGGGGCAATATATATACTGCTATATATATATATATATATATATATATATATATATATATATATATATATATATATATATATATATATATATATATATATATACTGAAATATACTGGAAATATACTATATATATATATATACTGGATACTGGAAGAAACATATTTACTGTATTACACTAAATTATATTATAAATTATATAAAGGATACATTTCAGTGGCGGCTCGTGACTGATTAGGCGACAACATTTTAGTTGGGACAAAAAGTCTATTTGCCCTAGGTAAGCCGTTTTCCGATTATTTAATATTTATAGGATAATACAAGGATATATATATATATATATATATATATATATATATATATATATATATATATATATATATATATATATATATATATATATATATATATATATATATATATATATATATATATATATATATATATATAATAAGTATATCATCTCTGAGTTAAAAACATAGCTCAAAAATATTTAGGACAAAACTAAAGCAAAAATAACAGCATTCAACGTAATGACATAATGATTGACATAATGTGCAAGTATAGTTTTTATTAATCTATTTTATCTATTATATCTAATATTTCATAAAATAAGATTCGCAAAGATATCTGACTTAGCTGCTTTCTTGACATATCGAATTGAAATAGCACAGATACTTTTCTGTAATATCTGTTGTATCTGGCACCGAATAAAATAACGCGCTTTTTTATTTCGAATTCTTTTATTTCTGTGGCGTGTTCTGAAATATAATCTCGGACAAGCCCGAAAAATGTTTCCAATTTGCTTTAAACGTTTTTTGAATTTTCATATAAAAGTTTTAAATGCTATGTAAAATGCGTCATATGAAATATCCCGTTAACGAAATGTGATATTATATCTCTTTATGAAATATCCGGAATATCCCCTTAACATCTAAGCCTACCGAGCTTCCCCTAGGAGATGCAAGACCTTGTCGTTGGTGGGGAAGCTCCTGGTCAGGTGCTGGGGGGAATCCCCCCTAGCACTTGGCTTGGTCTAAGAAGCATCTCACTCATCGTCTTGTCCCTGACTGTAGTGTCGTGGCCAGGGAATTGCACCAAGACATATAACGATACCGGGCGGGGCTACGGACAGCCTCAACCTTGGGGCACCCCATTGTATTTTACCCCTTACTTCTACATGCGGGGCTCTGTAGAAGTGGACCGACTGTCCCTAGCGACTCATGGGAACACTATGAGATCTGGTAATAATAGTAATAAAAACATCACCGGTGAAGCTGTGGGGAAACCCCCTAGCAACACTGGGAACAGTAACAATGAAAGTTCCAAGGGGCCAAACCCAAAGAGAACTACAGCAGAGGTGGCTGACACTTGCGTGAGACCATCCTCCGCAAGTGGCATACAAGCTACCACCTCCTCCAAGGGTCGGAAGCCTACCTCCTACCTCTAAACCCAACAGGCGACACAAGCTACCGTTTCGTCTACCCGGCCTGGGTCGTAGCCCCTCGACTGTGAAGGACACGGGTCTCCGTAGGAAGTCCTGGGACTGTATGATGAGTTATAACTCAAGAAAGGGGGACACAATAGATCTCTAAGGTCGCAGAGATTAACCCCCCTCCCACTTATTCTAAATTCTAAGCCTACCGAGCCTCCACGACTTCATGCGAAGGCGACCGGAGATTTCACCTAAGCCCCGCCTTAATATGATACAACTCCGACTTACGTCTCGTCGCTACCGCACGATGGGTTAGACAGAGACAGAAGACTGCCGTACGTCGTGCATCAACTCTGATAGTAGGCGATGTAGAAATCGCCGAACAAAGGCACTCCAACGGTCAAAATTATTTTGTTTTCTAACGCAGCGGCAGTAGCGGCACAGTAAGCGGTCACCGTACGCCAGCAGTAGTGTTAATATACAAGACCACAAATATTAAAATAATATTGATTATTTTAATACACGAAAGTGTGTTTTAACACACTTTCGTGTATTAACAATATTTTTATGTATTGGCAACATTAATAGTAAATAATGTAATGTAATAAATCGCTTAAATTCTGCCAAAATCTTAGGGTAGGCGCCGCCTACCTTGCCTACCCTGACGAGCCGCCACTGATACATTTATAGAAATTGAAGCAGCGAGAACAATTATACTATTTTTTTATTCATAATACATTAATGTCAATAATGTGTAATATTTTATAAACGGATATACCAAATTGATTAAATAAATAGGTATGCCTTTTTTCCTTTTTATAATACAGGACAAATGTTAAATTAATCATTTTAAAGATACATTCTGTGTATACTGAATACTGAAATTTCCCTATTCTAGACAATGTTAATTGCTATGTGATTCCATACTGAATCACAATCAAAAATAATCCATGAGGCAAAGATAATTGGGTACTCGAAAATAAACCCAGATAGTTGGAAAGATTAATATTCTCTTTATTCTCTTAGTACGTAGATTAGACTAGATCGCATACATATACAGGGTGGTCCGAACTGTATTCCGGAAACTTCGGCAGCACATCCTGTAGATAAAAATAAGTAAAAAAGTTTGTATAAATATATGTCCTGAAATGCTTAGTTTCGGAGATACAGGGTGTAGAAGTTTCATTTTTATTTCTATTTTTTCCAAATAATTTATGAAGTAACGTTAATATTTGGCTGAAAATTGGTGTCTGGGAGTCTTTTGACATGAGAAATTTGATTGTGATGTCAATATGGCTCCTACTTGTAGAGGGCGCCATCTACATGTGTTTAACTGTTTTGAAGAATAATAACTTTTCGTCCGTACCTGTATAAAAACTATGGAGTAAAAAATATACATTTCCATGACTTTTTACGTAAAAAATATCTCTTGGTAAAAATCGCTACGAGCAACCGTTCTCAAGATATTGAGAATGAACCAACGAAACCAAACCAAACCAAAACACGTTGAGTAGATAGTTATTTGACTGCAATAATAAATTTGGGAAATTTTTATTTTTTTTTAATTAATCATTAAATTTTCTGCAAAAAAATTATGATAAAACAGTTTCTGTTGAACTTTTGTCACAAAAATATTTCAAATTTATGATTTCAGTCTAATAACTATTCAGTCAACATGTTTAATTTATGTCAATGGTGATAGGTATTGATAATTTAGATTGCAAATATTTCGAGAACTACTCGTAGCGATTTTTACCAAGAGACATTTTTTACGTAAAAAACTTCTTAAATGAATATTTTTTTTACTCAGTAGTTTTATACAGGTACCAGGTACGGACGAAAAGTTATTGTTTTTCAAACCAGTTATAAAAGATGTAGGTGGCGTCCTCTACAAGTAGGAGTCATATTGATATTAAAATCAAATTTCTCATGTCAAAAAACTCACCAATTTTCGTCCGAATATTGACGTTACTTCAGAAATTATTTGGAAAAAATCGAAATAAAAATGAAACTTCTACACCCTGTATTTCCGAAACTAAGCATTTTAGGACATACATTTATATATACGAACTTTTTTACTTATTTTCATATGCAGAATATGCTACCAAAGTTTCCGGAATACAATTCGGACCACCCTGTATATTAAGTTTATGATAATTAATTATTTATTGAAAATAGAAATTATCAGTGCTTATTACTTGCAAATATAGTAGTACTAGTACTTTATTTTCAATATATTTTTTACAAAAATCTTGGGATTGTGTAGGATTGAAAATTTAAAAACTGTTTTAAAATAATATATTGTTACTAGTATTAATTTTGAATATTATATCTAGTTAGAATAGGTTTTAATTGAAGTTAAAATATTTGAACTAATATAAAATGTACAAATTTATCTTGGACAACCCTGCTTGGCGAGGTTTTACACCGATAGAGCGCTGTAAAAGTAGGGGGGTTGAAAACACGGCTTAACTTGATGATCTATGAAGTTCAGCTATTACGCTATAGATGGCGCAAAGCCGCGTGTATTTGTCCATATAACTTAAATGGAAAGTAGTTTTGATAATGGTAGGTATTAAGTTCTAGCTGGTCGTTGCTGGTTTTGTGGTTTTATTTTATGATGTGATGTTTAACAATCTTTTTAGTAATAGCTAGTAATAGTACTATTGCCTGCTATTCTATTGCTACTGGGCTTGTATTTTAAACAGGTGAGAAATTTTATAATTAACCCGGAATTTTGTGAGTGATAATTTCTAAATCACGTATCACTAATTTTCAATAAAAATTGTTTACAGGGTATTTTATCATAGAATCTTTTGTTGATATTGTATAGGATTTGGGGTTTGGTTTGGTTAGGTTGGTTAGGTAGATATATAGAAGATTAAATTCATATATTTATATAAAGCTAAAGTGACAAGATTATGAGCCAACCAATGACATGACCAATAACGGACGCTGGCAAAGAATAGCGGACATGTTTTTTCAAGAATAGTACCGAAGTATTATGTAATTTTTATATAAAAATGTCTGGGAATGAGGTTCAGAAAACATGTACTTGGTTTGGTTTTTAATGGAACTACTACTTTTTTAACAAAAAAAATATAATTAGGCACACTGCATTCACCAACTGCTAGAATCACATCAGTTCTCTCTGATGTAGGATAAGTTTGCATTTTCGGCAAATTTCTGAGAAATTAAGAATTATTTTGTTTTAACTTGCACAAAATGATAACTAGTTGTTAAAGTTGGACTAATTCATGACTGGGAAACTTAAATGTAAATAACAGTTCATTAAAAATAGTTTTTCCTCCAAGATGCAGAGGCGCAAAATATTAAAACTGTCAATATCAACAATGCAAATGTCGATATCTGACAATAATAAAATTTGTTTTTTAACTGACACGAGACACCCAGAGACGCTTTTGTTGCGATTTTACGGTTTGATTTCGTTTTGATTTGCCGAATTATTGTAAAACTAAATTCCTTCAGATTTTTTGGCAGTATTCTGTTTTAAACAATGTTTTTTAAAAATGGTGAGACAATTTGTGTTTTGTATAGACCCTAGTTATTTTTTATCATGTAGTTTAATTGTTGTACACCGGGTTTCCGAAGGATACAATGGTAAGTAAATTAAATATATCTACTTACAGTTATAGATTTTTTAAATTAGTACTGCTAATAAATGCTATACTAGCTGAGCAGTTATATTTTTTTTACGGTGCATCTAAGGAATTAAGGACGCGCGTTGCGTTATATTAGCATGATCAGCAGACGATTAAATCTAATTTAATTTGTTTTTATTATTTCAGGTCTCAAACGGAAACAAACTGGGAATCTTGCCTGCACCAAAATTATATAGCCGTTTCCTATTCACTTCAAAAGAAGGAAAATTATGTACATAACACTTCCTGCTCCTGCCTGCTATTTGCTGAAAACCGCCAAAGATTAAATTATAACTGTAACAACTTAATATATACTATTACTAGTCTTTTTAATATATTTTTTATTAATATCCGACATATAAGAACACTTTGTATGCTTTTAATTAAGTTGATTTATCGTTTATAATATGTTCGACCTAATTAAAAGCACACAAAGTGTATTTACATGTATGTCTAAATTTATTTTAAATTAACTAAAACAACCCCCCTTCCCCGCATCCCTCTCTTCCCTTAGTATTTCTTCCTCCGACTACCAGAGGCGCCCTTGTATAATAAAATTGAAATGTATTATAAACACAAAATTTCATTTCAATACAAACTGTCGTTCTCATTGGAACCCCCACGACGTATGAGGGGCGCCGCCCTGTATTTTAAATAAATATTTTTATATTTTTGTACTAAACATGATGACTGTCGAAGAGAACAGGGATATTGAGTATGTGGATACCACTGAAGATGATTTGAAACTTTTATTAAACAAAGTAAATCTGATTTTCTATTAATTAAAAAATAAATAAATTCAACAATCCCCAAATAAATCCATTAAATTACAAAATTCGAAATTTATATTGAAAATATATCTAAGCTATATTAATAATTAAAAATTAGGTTGTCAGTTTAATTCTAAACTCAGTTCAAAGACCGTTCCAATCCGTAATTAATTTTTGTATAATAACAGAACTGTCCAATTAATTCGTCATATGCGTACAAATAAATAAATAAATAAATAAATGCCTTTATTGTCAAAAAATTTTACAATTTGAAGACAAAGGAAAAGTAAACAAACAAGGTACACAAACAAACAAACAAAAGATAATACAAAACATTATACAAATAATATTGTCAGTCTTATTGTTTAAAATAAACATTTATAAATGTTTACAATGTCAAAGAATAAAAAAAATAAAAATAATATTCAAAAATATTTAGTTAGTTTATAGTAAATATCAATGACCTCTAAATAAATTTATTTCGGTGTCATTGGTAAATATAGCAATAGCAAACATTAGACCAGTGTTTACAAGATCAAATTCGATTATATAATTCATTTACGGCGTAGAAAGCCTTGTCTAGTAAATAAGAGTTCAATGCTTTGCGAAATGAAGAAAATGATGTTATGGATTTGATTTCAAATGGCAGGTGATTGTGCATTTTTTTCGAGTTGTATAATATTGAACTTTTAACTAACTTTGAGCGTGGGGTAGGTAGATAAAGATCTTGCTCCGCGTTCCTGAGTGGATAAGTGTGAGATGGCCTTTCTTGAGAAGCTGATACATGCTTACGTATTAGGCAAACGGATTCAAATATAAATAAGGAAGGAAGAGTTAATATTTTTAATTTTTTAAAGAAGTCCTGGCAATGAGTTCTGCTGTTTAGACCCAATGAATATCGAACAGCTCTCTTCTGGAGCTTGAAAATGCGATCAAATTGAGTCGCACAACACGTACCCCAGAATGGAACGGCATACCTGAGGTGCGACTCATAAAGTGCATAATAAACAGTTCTAGCCACTGACAAGTTAAGCTCTTTAGAAACAGATCTTAATGCAAAACAGGCAGAGCTCATTTTTTTCGACAAAGCTTCGATATGCATGTACCATTTCAGAGAATTGTGTACAACAAGCCCTAAGAATTTTACAGATTTTACGACGTCAATGGTGGTGTTGTTAAGTACAAAAGGCTGCCGCGAGTTTTTAAACGACAAAGCTTTAGTTTTAGAAATGTTGAGACTCAGGAGGTTCGAATTGCACCAAGATTTAATGGTGATTAAGTCATTTGATATAATCCTATGAAGTGCCGTGACGTCCTTGTTGCTCCAAGTGAAGCTAGTGTCGTCTGCAAAAAGACATATTTTGCCATTGATGTTTATGTTAGCAATGTCGTTAATAAAAAGAAGAAACAAAATGGGGCTTAGTACTGAGCCTTGTGATTGTGTAAATCATAAGATCCTAATTAATAAACTGCAGCACTATGGGTTTGGTTTGGTTGTCTTCTAGCAAGTTGGTTCACGTTGTCTTCTAGCAAGCCAATAGAATGTGGAGTACCATTCTATTGGCTTGCTAGAACAAAGTGGTATCCACCCTCACAAGTTGACTTCTGTTGTTCAGATACGACTTAAACCATTCGAGAGATGTTCCCCTGAACCCATAGTGCTGCAGTTTGTTAATTAGGATCGTATGATTTACACAGTCGAACGCCTTAGAAAAATCACAGAAAATTGTTGCTGTAGAATGATGGTTATTTAGGCTGGAGTAAACTTTATTAAGGAGGGAAAACACAAATCCGATGCTGTGTTGGAACAAATCTATTATTAGACCACAAGTTATATCTGTATAGAAAGAACTTATCTCCAAGAAAGACAATTTTCGCCATCAATATATAACCAAAATCCACAGTTTTACCGTCCCCACTAAAAGAAACAATCGAATTTTCGTCATTATTTCGAAAAGAAAGCCCTGTCTCCTCTTCAAGCATTTCTTTTTCGCTTAATCGACAACAACCCGACACAATTTGCGTGCTCTTGACAATAACAAAATTAACCAATTTAAAAAGCAATTAATTGCACGAGCAACAACTCCGAAGTTATCAGCGGAAGAACTGGAAGGCTGGCTGGGTCGGTCGGTTCATCAATCAGGCGGGTGTTCTTAATTAGGCGACAAAAATAATAAGAAAAACGCCGCGAACAGCGTTCTGAGCAATTTGAGCGGCGCCGTTGGGGGGCGCTCGCGGTCTATTTCGAATGAATTAAGGGGGCGCGGAAAAATTAACGCCTTCCCAATGGAAATTTAAATAATGAACGGTCGGTCGAAGAAAGGTACGTTAAATATTTTAAATAAGAGATAAATTATAGTCTATTCAACGAGAGGATACATGACAGCAAGTGATGAGCGCGACTAAGCTTAGTGTTTGCTTCGCACAAAAAAAAAATTGCACCAAAATGTCCTATTTACGTTTGTTTTGCAATGTTTCTCGTTTATTACTTAGGCTAGAAAGATGCGGATTTTATGTCACTGTGCTACTTTTTGTACGAAACTAAAGATGCTACACTAGGGCTAGTTTCTGAAATACATGATCAGTTGTCATTTGTGAAATTTGTCTCATTCTTATGTTTTTTTTAAAACAATCAAAATTAATTATTGTGATGTTATTGTTCAACGGAAAACAATTAATCCATTTTCGAACAATTTTGACTTAAATTTTATTGATACTTTACCTACTTTTATTTAAAGATAGCATCCACCATCTCCTATTACCTCTGTTTAATTAATCGGACCTTTTAAAAAAATTAATTTTTATTAAGAAACTATTTGAGACACGAGTTACTAAAAATGTTTTTTATACCTACTACTGGGTAAATGAATTTGTAGATATAGTTTGATTTTTTTTGAAACTTTAGTTTCGGAGATATAAAATTAATCGGACCTTTTAAAAAATTTAATTTTTATTAAGAAACAATTTGAGGCATGAGTTACTAAAAATGTTTTTTATACCTACTACCTACTACTGGGTAAATGAATTTGTAGATATAGTTTGATTTTTTTTGAAACTTTAGTTTCGGACTTTCGGAGATATAAAATTAATCGGACCTTTTAAAAAATTTAATTTTTATTAAGAAACAATTTGAGGCTCGAGTTACTAAAAATGTGTTTTATACCTACTACTGGGTAAATGAATTTGTAGATATAGTTTGACTTTTTTTGAATCTTTAGTTTGAGAGATATAAAATAAATCGGACCTTTAGAAAAAAATTAATTTTTATTAAGAAAC